CCAGTAACCCCCCCCCCCCCCAGGAAAGTAGAAATAGGGGGTCATAATTTTTTATCAACTTTTCTCTTGGGGGTTCCAAGTTTTAGCATGGAATTAGACATCAGTTCCTCTGGCCCACCCCACCCCCCCAGCTAAAAAATGAATCTCCCTTAATTCAACACGCAAGAAAGTTCAGAGTGCGACACAACGTAAAATCCATAGGAAACCGGCACAACTCTTTGGAAATTCAACGAAACTGTGTGAAATATATATATATTCCGATCACTCAGCCAAAAGGCGCCATTTTGAAACTGGACTGAATATGTCACCATTGGAGTTCGGAATTGTGCGCGTGCGTATAAGTCCATATAAGTCTATATATGGGTAGTCTACACCGTAGGCTATTAATATATTAGCCTATGGTGTAGACCCCAGCAGAAACCGTAGGCTATGAATATATGGGCTAATAAACGAAAAATGCACCACAAGCATGGCATGAGCCGGCTATTACGTACATAAATACAAGCTTCTTACTATTATACATGAATCGTGGAGTCGAAGAATCGATGGCATTTTGGATTAATCTTTCCACCCTGAGCCTGCGATGCGCGAACGCAAACTCGATTTCTCGACGACGAAAAAAAACAGAAAACAGAAAACTAGGGATTTAAGACACTTGACCTTTCAGGTCAGTGTAATAAATCAACACAATAAATCAACACAGCACATTTCTATATACTACACTCTTATTATACAACATATAGTACAGTTACCAAAGACTGTTTCCCTAACTACATAAGTCATACATATATTTTTAAAAAGGCAAAGTTATACCACACAGTACGAGACACAGTATGTATTTTAATACTAAAGCTAAGCGAACTAAAACACATGGTACTTTAATCTAAAAAGATAAACTTTAAGAATAGTATAGTAGATATCGTAAATGTTTCTATATATACAACTCACACCTCACCAAGCAATACGCTGGATTTCCACAGAGAAATATTTCGTCGTCAAAATATTTCGCTTGATTTCTTTCGAATTATGACCATCTGAATAAATCAGTTCTACTTGACTGTTCAAAATTCAAGAGAAATTGAGCGAACAATTTCGACAGCAAAATTTTCTTTGCAAGTGGAAATGCAGCTATTGTGAAGAAAGGGCAGCTACCATATACGTCCAAATACCAAATCTGCGCCAACAGAATAATTTTTAAAAATCCAAGCAAATCTTTGCATGGAAGTAATACAATTATCATATACCATTACCAGTAGCGGACAATGGACTTTTATCATAATGACGTCAAACGCGGGAAACACTTGGCTTCCATTTCTTCCTGTAAATGCGACGTGAACAATTTTCAACAATTTCCTGCGATGCAAATCGTTGCCGAGTCTACCCAATTTCCTGTAACGTCATGTGCATGCCAAAAACTGTCCCATGTACATCGTTTATCAGAGTTTGACGTCATTATGGTCCATACAGTTTGGGCTAATAATCTATATACGACTTTTAATGTTTTTACAACTATGGAAGCTTGATTCCGGATTTTTTGCATGACGTTTGAGAAAAAAAATGGTGCAAAACTTTAGTTTAGAATCCTAAATTCTCATCACTATTTCACGAAATGTGTGGTAGTCAATGGTGTTTTCCAGTGATTAAGCTTGGTTTCCATTCAGTAACGACAGTTACGATCAAATGAAAACCAAGATTTCGACCACATCAATGCACAAATTTGGCGGCTAACATTAGTTTATACCCAATTTACAACTTTAGACAACTCGCACGCCTAATTATCATTGTTCTAGTACATAGAATAAAACAAAGGTAACTAAGTTTTAGAATTATCTACATGGGAGAAAACTCTTAGACATAACTCTAATACTTAGTTACCTTTTATTCCATGCTTCTGTAAACGAGAGCAATAGTAACTAGGCATGTGAGTTATCCAAAGTTGTGAATTGGGTAGCAACGATGGAAACAAGGTTGGTCAAATTTGTTTATGCAGACGGTGTTATTAAAACGAGGCGAGAGTGGCTAAAATGGACGTTTTAAAAATTCCTGACAAGCAGTCACTGATGAATAAGGTGTCTATAGGGAGGTCCGGGAGCAGTATGTCCGAACCACGTCCTAAGAAATATTACAAAGTCTTCTTTTATCGTTTATAGCTACAATAAAATAACTAACGACCAGTTTACGAAGCATGATGGTCTAAAACATTTCTCGTATCTTCAAGTCACAACATTTCATGATACCGATGAGATGACATTGCCAGGAGATCCCATTTCACTGAGCACTTTATCCAACCACTGCAGAGGCCCATGAAGATGAATCTCAATCCAACATGGCGTACTGGTGACATCTTGACGATGGTATTCTGCTCCCCAGCCTTTAACAAAACTCATTCGAATCGTACACATTTTAGTGAGTTCATAAACAGCTTCAAATCCATGGTGGACAGACTGTGAAAGGAGTTGGGCAAATTCTTGATTGTTGAAGATTTTTAATGAACAGTTGGAAGGGATTTTACACACCGTAGTTGGATGGAAGCCATGATGGTGATTACAGTTGCGACTTTGCACGAATATTGCACTTTCACTCTGACATTCAGCAAACACTTCCCCACCAACATAGTAAAGATGAACGCCTTTACCAATGTGCTTTCTCGTATTTTCAATGGTTGAATTACGGTTGACATTGGAGAGTAAACCGAGACAGAATCTTTCAGAGTGGTTGGTGTTAGGATCAGTGAAACCATCAACAATAACGCTTGTTGTGTGACAATGAAAAGGCTCCCCAACTCTTGTATTCAACTCATAATATGCAATCGTAGCCCAGTTACGAGGTTCCTGGAAGTTCACGGCAGCCATATCACCTGCAGAAAAAGTTAAAGTCATTAGGCTGCCTACCTTTTTAAAGTGGTTTCATAAGAGACTAAACGCAACTTTCTAGTTATATATCAGAGAGGTTTTAACCAGGTGGGGATTCTTTTCAAAATATTCTATTTTGAAAGCTCTGAGTACGGTAATGAGGGATATAGGTTAAACTCTTACTTATTGTAGATGGTACAGGAGACACTGGAGCAATTGGTCGTTGAATACAAGAATTATTTCCCATTTCCACATCCATCTGAGTTTCTGGTGGACGAGGTGAACCACCATCGTCTGACATACAGCAAGGATCTAAAGAAGAGAAGGACAAGAATCTTTGAATAAAAGAACAAAATGACCTTCGAAACATCAGAGTTCTTGATATACAGTATTATAGCGCTGTGCAAACTTTTTTTTTCAGCTCCAGCACTGACTTGCAGCTCATCTCCGTCTACGTTGGTTTACAATTCAGAGGATAAAGTCTGGATAATGGCGGATATTATTCAGCTCGATTTTGTCCCCAAGGTAAGCTGACGTGATGCAGCGCATCAAAGCATGACTCTGACAATTAATAACTTTTCCTGTGCTAAATAGATCACAGACATGATGACTAATACTATTGCAATTTGGCAGTTTGTAGTAACTGAAAATGGCGAAATGGTTTGAAACAATAGATATGACTTCAGAATATATATACTTTCACAGCAAATTCAATGCTGTGACATTTGTAACCAGCGATAATTCTACAAAATTTTTTTAGAGACCTTGTTACTTTTATGACATTATTTCGAGGGTTTAAGAGGGTAAATAATACAGAATTAGCTACAAAGAATTGTTTGATAAGAAAGCCTTCTTTATGAAAAAGAGGTATGATTTCAGTTTGGTTTTCTCGGAAGGTCAGTTTCACACACCTGGATCTGTTTCACACATCCGGGTGTGTAAGGGCCCTGTGTCGTCCCCAGTCCACTCGCTACACTATGGCAGGGTAATGCACGTTTCTTTCCCTGTGTATAATTGCTTGTTAATATAGAGATTGACAGGAATTTTTGAGCACGGAGTACGATGTATAAACCTCAATCGTCTCCATGTGATTGTGTCCTTAAATCTTGATATTTCCCACTCACGTTAGAGTACACTCACATACGAGTCGTGAGAAAATTGTCGGAATGAGGCAAAGTAATGGTGGGCATTTTTCGCTCAAAGTTTAAAAGAGAAGCAAAACAAGGTGAATTGTTGATTGTAAATGGAAGAGAATGATGGCTACAGAAGTTAATTTATTCTCTAAGCAAACAAAAGTTATGACAATACCATTTATAATACATTTGTTGGAGGCAGAGGGGGGGAACTGGGCACTGCTGAATTTTTGTTTGCCAGGCAGGGGTGTTCCAAAGTATACTACTGTGTGTGTTATATTAGAACTATGACATCATAAAAACTCACAGGAAATGTTGACCTGGGTGAGCAAATCTCTCTGTGGTGATGACAGTGCTAAAACCCAGTAGGCTTTCGAAATGTTTCAGAAATAATGGTACTGTATTCAAAGGGTGCTTTTCCAATACAAAGTGCATATGAATAAACAAGTATGACATGGTTTTTTATTCCTCCACTGCTGACGTCAACCATGTTTAAGTAGCAGGTCTGTGACATGTTAAGATTGACAACAAGGGTTCAACAATACAAATATTTGTCATGTACATTTGCATGAACTAATAACATCATAACATACAAACACTGCCACAATAGAAAATGTTATCTAAAATCTTGCTATTATCTATGCCCCCTGTTTTTGGACATAATGTAGGTATAACATAGACATATTTTCTGGGGTGCAACCCCCCCCCCCCCCCAGCTTTACTGATAAAAAATTATAAACAATCAGAATTGATAGTTATAACGGTACATTAAACAACAAGACTAATGGACATGATTATCTATTAAACCATTGAGCTGCAATGCGCCCCAGTGTACCCTGCTTATTTCTTTACTTGTCTAATGCCAGACAATTTTACTCATCAATGGGGAAGCTCTGCAGCTTAATGGGTTAACCAAAAATAGGGCCATTTATACGGAACAAAATAAGACGCGACTTACATAAGACGCGACTTAGGTAAGACGCGAGTTTGTCGTATAAAAGGTACAAAATTCTTATGTAAGACGCGTCTTGGATAAGACGCGTCTTACATAAGAACAGGTCTTTTAGCTGTTCTTATTTAAGTCGCGTCTTAAATAAGAAATTTTGGACAAAAAATCTAACTACACATGCCAGAAACTTGAAACAATGTAAAATTTAATGCCTTGCATATTAAAACAAAAACAACCAAAACAACATTATAGCTATTAGCAAATAAATAAGGCCAAAGCCGTAGAGAACCATTTATGCGATAACTCCACTTATTTAAGTCGCGTCTTATGTAAGTCGCGACTTATTTTGTCACGTATAAATGGCCCTAATATGACAATGTCTCTAGTTAACGTATTAAGCCGTAATCCAGGTGATCTTGGAACTCGGAAAAGGCCTAGCACTAGTTGTAAAATAGAAATCCATTTCTGGTTTAAAATTACTCAGTATCTTATCAACGGTATTAGATTTCTATCTCAAATTCGTCCCAGACATTCATTTCCCTGTGCAAGACACAGACACAAAGTTTCAAACAGTTTCACAAAAGAATCAGGGCGCGACAAGTGATTAAAGGTACAAAACTGGATTTCAATTCTGTTGCTAGTCCCAGTCCTTTTGCTCACTGTCAGATCACCTGGATGCGCGCACTGGGTTATTTTTTTTACTTGTCTAACGCCAGACAATTTACTCGTCAATGGGGAAGCTCTGCAGCTTAATGGGTTAATGTCAGTAAAATAGCACAACATGCGACTCTTTATTAATTAGAGCCGTCTGTACCCAAAACCCCTTTGACATACATGTTGAGAATTTTGCCCCCCGCACCAATATTTCATAAAATGCAGAGGATAAATAGCCCAAAATTAATATCAGATCTCCCTCTATCAGTGCATTATGAAGTATTCTCTTTGTATATAGATATCATAAAAAACAGTAACTATTTAATTTAGTAGGGCTTTAAAATTATTTTAATTTTTTCTCAGTTGCCATGTGGGCTGCCTTTCAAACATATCTTGCTGGCAGTTGCTGCCAGATGAAAAATTTTGCCACAAGTGTCAATCAGGCACCCACTTATTTCAACCCCTGCCCCTACTTTTGAGATGCTTCTGTAACCAGCAAACTCAAGAGCATTTAGGCGGCAAAGGCGTCTGCTGAGAGTCATTCTGGCTTCTCCAGTTATACACACACAGGGATGATATTTCCAGGTAATAAACATGTTCACAATTAAATAGATATTATAATTATCATTCATGTAGTACACTGTAATTGAGTGCTGGGCTAACACGTAGTTAACATCCCATGCCACACACCAACAGCTCACTGTAAAATTATGCTGGAGGTGTCTGGTATGCGACAAACTTGAAATTTTTGAATACTTTTACTCAACAGATGTATTATAAACCTTTTTCCACTTTCCCACGAAGAAACACAAAACATTTTGCAGAAAGTCAAAACATTCCAACATTAACTATGACAGCTACTAATTACAAGAGGAAAGTGCTCAGTTTTGACTCTGAAAAATACTGATAACAGTGAGCTTGTGGCTTATACAACTAAATTTAATCGCATACTTTATAAAGTGCCTTTATACTGCTAACTCTTTTAAATTAAAAGGACAATAGTTTAAAGTGACAATAAAATATTTGTGCCGCAGGCAATTTAGTAAAAATATACAAAGATGCAGACAAATGTCTCGCCACGAATTTAACTGCAAAATCACCTTGCCATATGTATTTCCGTACATTCCTTATCTCACAAACTTGTTCAAGTAGTCAGAGAATTCCTTTATATTTCAAAATAACATTGCATTGTCTTCCCACAACAAATAACCTTATTACCATTCAACATTTATACACGTATTAAACGTGGGAATATAAACTAGGGCTGAAATCAGTGATGTTCTATATAATTCCCAAAATGCGAACAAAATTACCTGGCATTTCATAAGGACGGTAGTTGTCTCCTTGTCTGAAAGGACTTGGTGTATCATCACCCGGTGTTTGTCTGAAGTTTGCTGGAAATGAAGCATTCACAGGCATAGAACTCTCTTGAGGGGCTGAATGATATGGTGGGGGCAATCTTGGATGCATTGGAGGCCATTCACTGTGTCGTGGCACCAAAACTGGAGGCAACACTAAACAAAATATCAACATTTAAGCTTTTCAATGTCTTTTATACATGAATAAACTAATGCAAACATTGCCGTATTAAAAACGTGGAATTTCCAAAAGGTGGCAATCACTTATGTTCAAAGTATAAACTGTATGTACTGCTTGAAATAACAATAAGCATTTATACTTGCCAAGCAGCAATCGTCGTTTATTTAAGACAAAGAAAATGAAAAGTATCAATTCGGCCATGTTTCCTTCGCTAGATAAATACCTGGGCTTTCAACTCTTCTATAATGGTATGGGTTCACACACACTTCTTTCTGTTTTTTGCCAAACGCATATTCACAGATATCCAGAGGTTTTAACTCGTGGTGGCTTTGTAGATCAGGCCAGCGCCATACACGACAATATATAACATGTGGAAGACCTTTTCTGTGAGAAACTTGAAGCCGTCCATCTAGACTACGAGCTATTGTCACACACTTTGCAGGTACGTTAGGGTTAGATAAGGCTTTTTCAAGCTCTTCCAGCGCCCCCTTGTTCTTCTTCAATTTTTTTACAAGAGATTCAATCGCTTTCTCTGCCCATTTCTCTTCTTCGTCGCCTTGCTTCCAGCCCAAAAGACGCTTTACAGCTGGCGAGGCGAACGCAAACAATGAAGCCATTTTGAAACGTCGTCAATAATATTGATGTTAAGTTTTATTACAAATAATCTAACCAATCTGATAAAGAAACGAAAGAAATCTGGAATAAGATATAACAATTTAATGATATAAAGCAACACAAGCATTCGTTGTTCGCGTTTCGACATTCTAAATGTGTGTTTACGTTCTAAACACGCGTCTTCACAAACAAACTTCGCCTTTAGAAATCACTTAACTTTTTGTAATGATGGTTTAAAATGTTGCCTACCTTTAAAAAGAAAATCCCCCGATACTTTATCAAAAATGATCCGAGGAATTCTCAGTTATATTCCCAGATCTTTGGTAAACCAGCTAATATTGTGTAGACTTTCCTTCGCTTGTGGCTTGAGCATGCATGACGTCATTCAATATGGCGCCGTCATGTCTGGTGAGGTATGAAATGCTGGCTGTATGTCTCGCTAGGGGGTTAACTCAATATCCTGTAATGACAAAAAGCATCCTTGACTAAAACATTCTGCCAACGGACTGCCAGAGTCTTTGTAGGGAGAAAAATAACATCATTAACATTTGAAGTACGTCATTTCTTTTATGTGATGTTTCTTTCACTAATATTATTCCAGCGCATTTTAGCTCAGGTAATCTCGTATTTCGCCCTCATATTGCGCCGTAATATAAAATTTGCGGTAAAGGTGCCTATAGACAGTAAAGGCTTTGCGGCATCAGACGGAAGGCATATTACATATTATTACACAAAATTAAAACAAATTAAAAACAAAGTTACAAGAAAAGTGGCTCTTTTAATATTTTAACACACAATAACATTCAAGAAAGAGCGAGCATTTTTACAGTATTATGATCCTGCAAGAGTCTTTCAGGTTCGCGGAAATACGTATATGTTTCTTAATATCTATCAATGAAAGCTGACGTGAGGGGATGAGAAGAACCGGAGAACAATACCGAGAATGTCGCCAGCTTGGTGACTGCAAGGCTCGGTCGCTCGCGCGGGACAAGCAAACATATTTGAACACGCGCTGATTGTTTTCAGTCCAGACCTCGCGTGCCATGAATTACGGTGATCGCTACGGTAGATACTTAGTATACTTCAAAATAAGGTTTTCGTTTTTATAACATAGAAAAAACTATCCTAACGCAAAACTAAACCCTAACCCTAATACTAACCCTCACCTAACCCCAACCTAACCCTAACCTAAACCCTAACCTAACTCTAACTTATTTTAATTATTTTAAAAATTGATTAAAAATTTAAAAAATTAAAACAAAATTTGTTTTATTCAAATCTCCAAACAAAAGAACAATTCATGATATCAAACTTTCAAAGAATAATGACAATATTAAACAGGTCAAAAGTATAACATTCCTTGGGATTGTGATAGATGAATGTTTGACATGGAAATATCATATAGAACTAGTTTCAAAAAAGATTATCAAAGCTACTGCAATAATTTCCAAAATCCGATACTTCACAAATATTAATTCTCTAAAACTAATTTATTATGCGTTAGTCTATCCATATCTTATCTATGGTAACCTTATTTGGGGGAATAGGCGTATAAGACACGTACTTCAAAAACTTTTCACCATTCAAAAGAAACTTGTAAGATTGATAACGTTTAGTTCTTATTTTGAGCACACTGATCCGATATTTAAGAAACTTAAGATACTCAACATCTACAAAATAAATGAGTATTTAACTAGTTTATTTATGTTCAGATACTACAAAGTACAAAATTTACCAGAAATTTTTTGTAATTATTTTGTATCCAACAACGAGATACATCATCACAATACCAGAAATGCATCGCTCCTTCACAAGTCTTACAAAAGAACAAATTACTCAAAACATTCCCTAGCAAACAAAGGAATCGAAATTTGGAACTGTCTTGCAAAAGACTTCAAACAAATAAAATCACATTTCGTCTTCAAACGAGAGGTAAAGAAACACTTTCTTCATATCTAATTAACTACCGGAAGTTTATAAATTCTATCAAACTATAGGGCACAACAAATCACCGCACGCTTATTTCTATGATTATTGATTACTATGAATATCAAATTGTAATTGTAATTGTATTATTATAATATACCGTATATATTCGCAAAATTGACTACTGTAATAATTTGATTTTGAACTGGTTTACTTAATTAATTAAAAAAAAATTGTAAATATATTTCTAGGGGTCTAAGTAAAAAAGCCAAATGGTTTCAAATAGACTCCTAGCCCTATTCTTCCTTAATATTAGAATTTTCATGTAAATAAATAAATATTATTGGGCAAAATCAAATAAATAAATAAATAAATAAATAAATATAAAAACGGAAACCTTATTTTGAAGTATACTATCTAGCAATTGCCCATGAATTACACGTGCTCGAAATTACACACGTGACTTTAGTATAGGTCGTTTCCAGATGGTCGCTCCTGCGCGGGACCCCCAATTGCCAAAAGCAAAGGTCCTTAAAATTTCTTGATACAAAGTTGCTTAAAGATGCGGTACAGTCCGATCTGCGCATGTGCACAAAGGAGCCCTCTTTTTATTTACAAACAGTTTATTTAGGTTTTTATTTCATTTTATGTTCTTGCAAAGCTTGATTGTTGTCTCTTGATTATTTATTATACTCTAGAATCATGAAAATATAAATAGTTGTCGAATAAAATTCAATATTTTGGATACCAAAATGTAAACAAAGCCTTTGTTTACATACGGACTGTACCGCAACTTTAACTGATAATATGAATCCTAGCTGCGTTAATGCAGATAATATGTAATAAAGTGTAATATATTGTCAAACACTGCTCACTGCTTCTTCCCCTTTACAATTATGACGTCATAGGGGCCCCGCTCTCTTGGGACTCGGAGGCCCGGTAAGCTAGTAGCCTTCGTGTTTAACTCATACAATACGCTTCAGGGGAGAAGCGTGGCTCTGGTTGCACCCAACAATAATATTATCGTTCCTCACTGCAGTTTTGAAAGAAACATACAGACTGTCATCGAACCAAGGCACCTTTCCTAAATTTTACAACCGCTGTTCGTTACAGTGAATGTTATCATGATTGGAAAGTCACCAAACTTAGAAGCATTTTCGGTGAACGATAGATGGACCAGATTCATCGTATTCTGGTTTGGAGATACTCATTTTTTGGAATGTTGAGAGGGAAGCCAAGATGGAGCCACCAATCCAGACTGAGTACTTCCTTTCTGGTGGAGCAATCACCTTGATTTTCATCTTAGGCGGAGCGAGAGCAGTGATTTCTTTTTCCATTCTGTCGGCAATACCAGGGAACATAGTAGAACCACCAGACAGCACGGTGTTAGCATACAGATCTTTCCAGATGTCGTCATCACATTTCATGATGGAGTTATAGCAGGTTTCATGGATACCAGCACCTTCCACTCCGAGGAATGATGGTTGGAAGAATGGTTCCGGGCATCGAAATCGCTCATTACCAACAGTGATAACTTGACCGTCAGGAAGCTCGTAGCCCTTCTCCAAGCTAGAACTGGTTGCTTCAGTCTCCGTTTCTTGTTCAAAATCAAGAGCGACATAGCATAGCTTCTCTTTGATATCACGGGCAATTTATGTTTCGGAAGTCGTGGTGAATGAGGTAGTCAGTAAGGTAGTCAGTAAGATCACGGCCAGCTAAATTAAGACGAAGGATGGCATGAGGCAAGGCATAACCTTCATAGACTGGTACAGCGTGGGAGACACCATCGCCACTGTCGAACACCATTCCTGTCACACGACAAGAAGCATACAGAGGTAACACAGGCTGGATGGCTACATACATAGCTGGGATGTCGAAGAATTCAAACATTATCTGTAAAAAATAAAAATATCAATCAATTATTTGTCAAATATTCACTATTTTAGAATTAAAGTTAACTAGTTAAAAATGCAACTGTTTACAGTGCCACATCTTAATTCCAGGGCATATTAAATTAAAAGTAAGCATATCACTAGCCTTTCATCAAGACTGCAAGTTAATATAACTAAACACTATCTGCATGATGTGCAATTAACAATATTTGCCACTATTATTATATGTAGAACACAAAATTTCTAATTAATTATTGATCATGCAACCCAAACACCAATATATTTCTATTTCAGTTAAACTGATTAGGAAAAAAGTTCATATGCATATTGTTGTCTCTTGAATAAAATAATTAACATCAGAAACAACTAGTCGTTCTGGCTGTACTAAGTAATTCAATTTATCGTCAATCTATAAAAGTACAAATATGGCTATTATAATCGTTGGTGTGCTTTTTACCTCTGTCATTTTTTCTCGGTTGGGTTTTGGGTTTCTGGGAGCTTCGGTAAGGAGGACGGGTTGTTCTTCTGGTGCTACTCGAAGTTCATTGTCAAATGTGTGACGCCAGATCTGAAACAAATAGAAGAATGGGCGTTAACCCACAAGTCGAAGCAAAATCAAGAAAATGAAACAAAGCACAAAAACGTACCTTTTCCATATCATCCCAGTTTGTGACGATGCCGTGTTCGATGGAGTGTTTCAAGGTAAGGATACTTCTTTTACTTTGAGCTTCGTCGCCAACATACGAATCCTTCTGTCCTGTACCAACCATCACACCTTCATGGCGAGGACGACCGACGACGGAGGGGAAAATAGCTCTGGGTGCATCGTCGCCGGCGAAACCAGCTTTGCACATACCTGTTCATTATGGGAAGCACCGTGAGTATTTTTACAAAAGACAAAACAACGGTACCTCCGCGGAAAAGCTTTCGACGACTACGTTTTAGTCATCATGCATGCAGATGTAGCGGTTGTTGAGTTGTTTCCAGACGAGTGTATACCAAACCGGGCAAGCAGAAAATTCTACTTGACCGCGGCTGGGATTCGAACCCGCGACCTTCGCATTTCTAGAACGATGCTCTACCTTCTGAGCTACAAGGTCAAGCTGAGAACGACGTGTTAAGTTATGATGTTAGTCATAACTTAACTTAACACGTATCATAACTTATCGTATTCGTATCATAACTTAACACGTCGTTCTCAGCTTGACCTTGTAGCTCAGAAGGTAGAGCATCGTTCTAGAAATGCGAAGGTCGCGGGTTCGAATCCCAGCCGCGGTCAAGGAGAATTTTCTGCTTGCCCGGTTTGGTATACACTCGTCTGAAAACAACTCATAAACCGCTACATAACGTAACACGAGTGGAATCGTCAACGTGGGAAACCACAACATTCATATATATATATATATATATATATATATATATATATATATATATATATAGTATATATATATATATAGTGTATAATATATATATAGTGTATAATATATATATATATATATATATATATATATATATATATATATATATATATATATATATATATATATATATATATATATATATAAAGAGA